AAAGAGAAAGATGAGACTTTCTACTCCTGTACAGATTGTACAGTCTCAGAAATTCACAGGAAGTTCTAGTCTCTCCTATAAGGTCTCTATGAATTGAAGTCAATACAATGATAGTAAATTTTATTTAAATAGGTCTTTTCAGTAGTTTGTTTTAAATGGGTCTTTGAGGTCAAAATAGTTGACCTGGAAATTGCTAGTGGAAAGGTAAACTGCAAAGAACAAAACACCATCAGCAATAGATCTTTCTGCAACTATTTCAACTTTATATTTCAAATACTGAAAATCAGAGGATGGAATAATAATTATGAAGCATACTAGGCTTATGCACAAATTTATGAAAATAAACAGTAATAAGAAATGTAGCCCCAATTGCCATTGAGTAGACTTCAGTGGGACCCTATATGAGTGTCAATGATTTTGTGCTCTAAAATTTTCAGTGGTTGATTTTTAGGAGGTAGAATGTTTATTTTTGTTCATTTCCTAATTTTTCTATGAATCTTACAAGACTTGGTTTTCCATTAGAATGTTCACGCATATTTCAAGTATTAATTTAGAACCCATGAACCACTTACTCTCCCATAAAAACGATCTCGGTGCTGTAATGTGTTGATTTAAAGCGGAGAAAATTGCTCAGAAAAGCACTCACACTGTCAACCGTGATGTTTCCACAGACCATGATGAACCTGGGCAGTAAGAACATGTCAAGTGAATTGCCTGAGGAACAAAGATTATCTTTCAAGATTTAGAGATGAGCCATTAGCTTAAACAAAATTGATATTTGCGTGACTCCGATGTAGAAAACAAATATTAGGAACATTCAATGTACAAAAGAAATACCAGATACCTATAGTCTTTAGTCTCTCTTAAGATAGGTATTAAAACATACATTTCAATTACACTCAATTATTCAAGAATGCAACAGTAAATGCGATTGTAGAGTTACATAAACTCAACAAAGAAACAGATCCACTGTCATCTGACCCATAGTGACCCTACTCTGGGTTTCCAAGGCTTATGGGACATTTATGGAAGCAGATATTTATAATTTATAATGAACTTGCACATGTATCATTTCACTTAATTCTTCACTTAATCCTAATTAATTGGTAAACAGGCAGTCCTGGGTTGGGAACATCTGATTTATAAAGAGCTGTTCATACTAGTTTTTAATGTTATATACGTTTGCCCTCACTTTGAAACAACTGACCTGACCCCTTTGTATAAAATGTTTCTTCATTGCATTCACCTTCAATTCCTGAAAATGAAGCTTTTAAAACATTAGAAAGACTTGGAGCCTTTTCTTACACTAGAGCAAGGGTAAATAGAACTGTAT